CTTCTGCCCCAGGATGTTGACGTAGGCTCTCAGCACATTCCGAGACAGCAGCGCCAGCCCGAGGACGACCAGGAGCCTGCGCGCCGCGCCGCGCGGGCCGTGGGCGCCGCCAGAGGGGGGGGGGGGCGCGACTGGCGGGGGGGGTGACTCGGGGAGGGGGGGGGAGGAAGGTTGGGTACTGCGATTTCGCGCGTGCCAGTCGCGTGCCTGTTGACGATTTCGGTTTTGAGCCGATTGAAGGTGAGCATGCTTGTAGTTGATCTCGACGTGTTTGCTGCTTGGGGGGGGGCAGCATGGAGCGCGGGTCGGCGATGCATCACCGACGGATCTCGGCGAGGGGCCCCGAGGCGGCGAGTATCCGCGCGGTCCTCGGGGCGGGGCGGGCCCTCGGGCCCGCCTGCTGCAGTCCCGCGGGCGAGGGGGGGCACGGTGCGTGGCCACTGGGCCTCTCTTCCCCACGGCCGTGCCCCCCGAGCCAGGGGGGAGGGGGGAGCGGGAGCTGCAGCCGGGTGGCAGCCGCCAAGCTTGACGGAGGGCGCCACGGGACGACCGGGGGGGAGGCGGGCGGGGGGGGGCCGGACGGAGAAGACGAAGGAGGACGGAAGGAGCGTCGGGCACTTTCGGACGTCATTCGGAGGCCGTCTGAGGTTTCCATGTGCGATGCATGTTCAGGATTTGCGGCGGGATCCCTACAGTTCCATCCGAGAAAGAGCACAGAATAAGAGGAATACAGCGCTGGCGGAAGAGGCGGGGAACGATGAGGAAGTGGCAAAGGGTCACGCTTGCGTCGGTATCCGTGCTGCTGGCCGTCTGCGTTCGCTCCTCCGATACGCGAAAACCTCCCCTCCTCCGTCCACTCCAAGATCGCTGGGGATGAGAGAATGCATGTTGGGCACGGGGTCTGGGGTTGCTGAACGAATGGCAGCTTTTCCTGGGGGATGCTGGTGCCGTCCAGCTACTGCGCTGTCGCACCCCACCGCTTGGCGCTGCTGATGCACCTGGTGTAGACCTCGTCCACGCCTGACGCCTTGATCGATCCAACTCCAACGGGACGGGGTCGGTAGTCGATCTGCTACGGTCGCTCATGTAACCAGCTAGCTGCCGTGCGCTGTTGATGGCCTGGGTGGTCGTGTCGATTTGAGTCTTGCGGATATGCACCGCTTGGGCTGTTCCCAACTCCTCATGGTGGATGAAACTCTTGGTGTCATCAACCCTGGCCAAGCTAAGCTGGTGAGCTGCCTCTCCCTTTGGCGGTACAAGCCGTACAAGGCGTTGTTCACCATCTTGCCGTAACTGCTGTAGATCTCGGTCGTGGACTGTTTTGCGTGGTGGGCCATCTGCATGCGGCAGGACACGGTGCCGAAGATCTGGTTGGGGTCGTCGCCTCTGTCGTGTGGCTGCCCGCCATCCATAGTACGCTTCGCGATCGGCTGTGGCACACTGTGATGGCCCGCTGGGCGTGTCGTCGTTGGATTGGCCCCCGCTTGGTTCCCACAAGAGGAGGAGCACGAGCAGCAGCAGCACCAGAGCAGGAGGAAGAGTCCATGTCCGGCGCGTATCTGCCACAACATGGCCAACCACGCTCGCTTGTTTGCTTCCCCGCTGATGGGAAGGGGGCGCCACAAGGCCATGGTCGGCAGCCACGCCTGCCGCAGGACCGTCCACTGCGGGGACAGCAGGCGACCTCAACGACATCGAAGTCACACCCTGAGTGATGTCTTGCGCATGCTGGCAATCGCCAGAACACCTAGACCAGCTCATCACTGGATGGGGTCCATGTGCTCGTCCCAAGTCGCCGAACCGACCACAGCCGCAACTCTCAAGGGCCCACGTCGAGGTCGGCGGGTTCTCCCCCGAGAGGGGCCCCGAAGCGAAGTTCCACTCCCTTCGGTTGCGGCCCTGCGCCGTGCCCGGATCCACGCCCGCCCTCTGCGCCCCTGCGACGCCCCCGGGCACCGTGGGCCAGCCTCGAGCTGGGCCTTCGGCGAAGTGTTAAGTCGGGCCTGTCCCTCAGGAGGAATATCCAAGAATAGTCCACAAATACTCTGGGGACTATTTTGACCATGTGGGAGTATGTTTGAACTATTTTTAATTGTTCCTCGAACTAATCCCCCTGTAGGGGGACAGGCCCGACCTACGCGAAGTGGCCACTGCGCACGACGACCTGACACGCTTTCTGTCTTCTGTGGGCACCGCGCATGGTTTTATGGTCACCATCCGTCCGCACCAAGAGCCCCCGCTGCAGCGGCGGGGGCTCGCCGCGAGCAACATGTCACGAGGGGGACGGCCCGCGGATCGTGGCAGCCAATGCTGGGCATCCGCCGTGACGGTCTGGACGGTCGCGCGGCGGGGGGGGGAGGAAGAGAAGGAAGGGGAGCCCAGGGGAGAAGCAGAGGCCTCCCAGATGGGACCCGAGCAGGGCGGGGGGGGTCGGAGGACTGCGCCGCGTCGCCGACGCATCTGGACTGCGCCGCGTCGCCGAGTGCGCCGCGTTTCACGACTCGCAAAGCAGCTACACGCAAATGGCTTTGATCCGCCGCGGGGGATTTACGACTCGATACATCGAGACGGACATTTTTTTCAGGACGTTTACGAATAGGCACGTTGTGAGTACTGGAACGCGCTCGGTAAGCATCGGCGCTATCGGCGTGGGGAACATCTTGCTCCATATCGAGCCGCATCGCCAATGCATCTTCGATGCGGAGCGACCCTTCGACCCCAGCTACTCGGATCCAATTCGGGGGGCTTCGGAGAATACAGAGGGGACGGGCCTTCTCAGAAGGCTCGGAAGACCTCCGGCCTTCTGAGGGAGGAAAATAGGAGGAAAATAACCAACTGATAGGAACTGCGATGGTGATGATGACGATGCTGGTGATGCGCCCTCGCACTTTCCGTCTCACTATCGATCACACTCGATCGACCTCACCATCGATCTCATTCAATCGATCTCAATCTCGACCTCACGGCCAATTTCACTATCTTACCAAAAACTACTGGGGCACCATCGAGACACCACCCTGACACCATCGAGACACCACCAGGACACCATGAGGCAGATTAAATGCAACCACTATTGACCTGTGAAGGTTGGTGCTTAGTGTGATGGTTGGTTGCTGATGGCAAGGTGATGACCGCGGTGGTGAGGAGCGTGGCGGTGACAGCAACGGCAGTGGTGTTGAGTACGATCGGAACACCATCGGGCCAAATAAATGCCACCACCACTGCGCTGCGATGGTTGGCTGCTGGGGCTCACCCCCCACGTCGCGCTATGGATATCACTAGCGATGCTGGAAACCACCTTGAGACGACCGGGAAACCACAGGGGCACCGTCGGTATACCACCAGAACATCATGCAGGCACCACAGGGACACCATCAGGACACCATCGGCACACCACTCATCGACACACCACCAGGACACCATCAGGACATCAATCGGGACACCACTCGGGACACCGACAGGGCACCGACGGGACACCGACATGGCACCGACGGAACACCGACGGGACACCGACGGGACCCCGACGGCACCACGGCGGGACACGCCCAGCCACCGCCCGCCCACCCGGGGGGAGGGCGGACACTTGTCTTGCCCTCCCTGGCCACAGCGGAATCATCCCTCTTGCCCGCCCACGCAGCTTCGCCCCGCCCGCACGCACGACACGAACGTGAAACCGAAACCGATTTCCCGGTGGGGGGCTCTCCGGTTCTTTTCGATCTCACACCCCAACCACCGATAATCCCACCAGCCCTTTGGGCGTGAGTGGTTTAGGGAGCTCTCTCTGTTCTCAACCCCCCTTCTTCCCCTTCGGGGAGGGGTTTACCACTCCCCCTACCCCCTCCCCCTGGGCCTGGAAAGGGCGCCTCGCGGGTGGTCAGGGGAGTCCTTTTCGACTCCTGGGAGGGCTAAAAAACGACACCCCTCACGAGGATTCTGGCCCCGACGGGGGGAGGCAGAAAAAACCCTCTCCTCTTCTTTGAAGCCAGAATCATTGATTCTACTACGGTTTTGGCCCCATTTTGGCCTTCCGAGGGGGCAGCGCTCATTACAGCTCCCCTCTTCTTTCAAGCCAACATCATTGATGTTACAAAGGTTTTGGCCCCATTTTGCCCTTCTGAGGGGGCAGCGCTAATTAAAGCTCCCCTCTTCTTTGATCGATTTCCTCCAAGATGGCCCCAAGAAGCGCCCAGGAGGCACCACGAGGCCCCAAGATGGCCCCAAGAGGCCCCCAGGAGGCCCCCAAGAGGCCTCCAAGAGGCCCCCAAGATGCCCCCAAGAGGCCCCCAAGAGGCCCCAAGAGGCTCCCCCGAAGCACCCAAGACGCTCCTGGAAGCCCCTGGGGCCGCCAAGAGGCCCCCAAGACGCCCCAAACGGCCTCCAAGAGGCTCCCAAGAGGCCCGAAGAGGCTCCCCCAAGGCACCCAAGACGCTCCTAGCAGCCCCTGGGGCCGCCAAGAGGCCCCCAAGACGCCCCAAAAGGGGACGAGGTGCCCGAACGCCTCACGCCACGAGGAGCCCGAACGACTCACACCCGGACGAGGGGCCCGAACGACTCACACCACGAAGAGCCCGAACGACGGAGATATGCGGGGGCAGGCGGAAACACGCCTGAAAAACACGACTGTCGGCATGCTTCGCAAGAGTTGCTGTTTTGAGATGGGCTGGTGGGGATACGCGAAGCGTGAAGAATTTAATCAACGCCGCGCACAACACAGTTGAGTGCTTGCAACACGTACACGGATGGATGGCGAAGGGTGTTCAACATGTGGCTCTCGCCCTGGCACAGCGCTCATTCGAGTTACACGGATGGAAGCTCCCACCATTTTGCCGCACACCTTCGCCTTCAAAGCTTCAGGCAGCGATTCGAATGGAAGGCAACTCATTCTCAAAATGAGGCTCTCGTTTGATACGTCCTCACACTGTCTCACTTGATGTTTCCAAACGTGCGCAACTGCTACACGGGTGGGTCTCCCTTGAGACTTTTTTATATGGAGGGCAATGCCTTCTAAACCAGGGGCTCTTGCTGGAGACAAAAGTCACATCTATGATCCTACCTCTACGCCTGTTCGCATGCCTTATAGCTAGCAAGCTAGACGGTTTTCTTTCCAAACAGGCACCTGCCTGAAATGCAGGCCAATGCGGCGCTCGTCTTTCAAGGGGGAACTTCCCGCAACGAACAGGCATTCGTGGGACTCATGAGGAAGAGACCCAGGACGCGAGGGTTTTTGCAGCATTGCTGATGCCTCTTGGGGGACCTTTGGTCCAACTCCTCGTCCTCGTTCTCCTCCTCCTCCTCCTCCTTCTCCTCCTCCTCCTCCTCCTCCTGCTCCTCCTCCGCCTGCTCCTCCTGCTCCTCCTGCCCCTCCTCCTCCTCTTCCTCCTCCTCTTCCTCCTCCTCCTCCTCCTCTTCCTCCTCCTCCTCCTCCTCTTCCTCCTCCTCGTCCGTCTCCCCAAAGAATCAGAGGACGCCCATGGGGGCCCATAACTTAAAACCTCCCCGGGACGCCAAAGGGCCCGGGGCCCTCCCCCTCTACCCTCGACATCACACCGCCCACTCCCAGGAATGAGGAGACCCTTGTCCTCTTGGCCTCCCGCCGCGGCAGCCTCTTCTTCGTGGGCGAGGAAAACCGTAGCATAAAACAGCATGAGCCTCTCCTCGATCGGGGACGCCTGTCCGAAGGCAGCTGGGAAACTGTTGCCCCAGCAGGGGCAATCAAAAGGTATACCCATACCGCTGCTCCCGGGACCTGTCCCGTGGTGCGCTCTGGCCAAAGGCCCAGGCGAATCCAGCAGTGGCGACAAGGGAAAAAGAGGAACACGAGGGAGGGGCAGCAGTATCGCCACCTCTATGGTGGCCACGATCCTCGTGAGGGGCGTACCGAAATGGGCGCGGGGACGCATGCGGACCCTGCCGCTGGAGCTCCCTATGGGGCCACGATCCTCGCGAGGGGTGTGCCGAAATTGGCGGGGGGGCGCGCGCGCGGACCCTGCCGCTGGGGCATTCGGTGGAGCTCCGGGCCGCGATCCTCGTGGGGGGTCTTCCTCCTCCGAAGCCCGCCTCCACGCCGCCTCCCGGGCCAGGCCCTGGGCGAGAGCGCGGCGGGAGCGGGCGGGCGCGCCGCCCGCCGACCCCCCGCGGCGCGCGGGGGCGGCGCGAAAGGCGCACCGCAGCGGCCACGAGTCGCAGACGTCGCGGACGAGCGCCGACAGGAACACCGCCAGCAGACCTCCACGGGAGCCGGTGGTGCAAAGGCGGGGCGTTGAGGGCTGGGGGGCCCAAGGATGGGAAGGGGTCCAAGGGTGGGCCTGCGTTGTCCGAGGCGCCCCGTCCTCGGGACCCCACACTTGAAGCCACCGAGAGGAGGGGGGCGGGCGCCGGAGCGAGGGGCAGCGAGAGGGGGGGGGGCCGGCTTGGGGGTGAACATCATCGAGCTGTGATCGGCGACGCAGCGGCGACAGATCGGCGACAGGCTCCCGGCAGCGAATGTCTGCACGCTCCTGGGCGGGGTGGGCTGGCGGACCCCTGATGTCGGCGACGAGTGGGCCGTGGGGTCAAGGCATTCGAGTTGGCATGGGGGGAAGAGGTCCCGAGGGCAACGGGTGCTGGACCCTGGGGTTAAGTCGGGCGTGTCCCTCTACAGGAGGAATACTCCAAAATAGTCAAACATTATCCCAGTGCGACCCTACCTAGGAGTTGGAGCCCCTAGAAAAGCAGCATTAGTAGTAACAGTAAAGCTAAGCTAAAGCTAAGCTAAAGCTAAGCTAAAGCTAAGCTAAAGCTAAGCTAAAGCTAAGCTAAAGCTAAGCTAAAGCTGAGCTGGAGCTAAGCTAAAACTAAGCTAAAGCTAAGCTAAGGCTAAGCTAACACTAAGCTAAAGCTAAGCTAAAGCTAAGCTAATTCTAAGCTAAAGCTAAGCTAAAGCTAAGCTAACGCTAAGCTAAAGCTAAGCTGAAGCTAAGCTAACACTAAGCTAAAGCTGAGCTAACACTAAGCTGAAGCTAAGCTAAAGCTAAGCTAAAGCTAAGCTAACGCTAAGCTGAAGCTAAGCTGAAGCTAAGCTGAAGCTAAGCGACAGCTAAGCTAAAGCTAAGCTAAGGCTAAGCTAAAGCTAAGCTGAAGCTAAGCTGAAGCTAAGCTAAAGCTAAAGCTGAAGCTAAAGCTAAGCTAAATATACGCTGAAGCTAACGCTAAGCTAAAGCTAAGCTAAAGCTAAGCTAAAGCTAAGCTAAAGCTAAACTAACGCTAAGCTAAAGCGAAGCTAAAGCTAAGCTAAAGCTAAGCTAAAGCTAAGCTGAAGCTAAGCTGAAGCTAAGCTAACACTAAGCTAAAGCTAAGCTAACACTCAGCTGAAGCTAAGCCAAAGCTAAGCTGAAGCTAAGCTAACACTAGGCTGAAGCTAAGCTAAATCTGATCTAATCTAAGCTAAAGCTAAACTAAAGCTAAGCTAAATCTAAGCTAAAGCTAAGCTAAAGCTAAGCTAAAGCTAAGCTAAGCTAAAGC